TACAGCAAATAGGCTGCTCTTCAGCATTCTACCCACCAGTATATACATTTTAACAACAATAACCTTTCCTTCAGGACATACATTTCCACCCACTCTGAGAATGGCCAGCCATGGCCCATGAGTATCAACACAGACCACATTGCATCTGTTCTCATTTCAGACTGTAGTTAAACACCACGTATTTGTTAAAAAGGCAAGTATCTCAGTAACAGGCACAGGTGAATAATAATGCCCATCCTGAGTGTTGGAGATACTGAAGTGTGAAAGGCAAATGGTAACATATGAATAAAGTAGAAGCTGACAGACTACATCACTCATTTTAATGTCCTAAGGCATGTCTTGGAGGGACATGCACTATGGCAACCTTGAGTCAAAGCTAAAGCTTTATTTGTTGGGGCTTGAAATAACCATCATTTGTTTTAGTTTCTTTCTACAGAACAACATAACTATTTTAAAACCAGGAACACACTTAAGAAAAAATACCAATTATTCATGTCTAAATATATCTGACAACATGTCAAGATTTTCCAGTCTTCTTTCCTTATTGTCTAAACACCAGATCTGCTATAGGAAACTACAGGTGGTCTTCTATTAAAAGTACCCTCCCTTCTGTTTTCTCAAAGTTGTTTCTAAAATAACTCTAAATAATCCTGATGTTTCCAAAATTTCTTGGAGATATATATTCTTCACAAAGTTCTTTTGTCCTTCAATATGCCGCTAGCATAACTGCTTATCTTCTAATACCATAATCCACCACCCTTTCTCCAAAAACTAGTCCATCTTTGCACCTGGGGATCATCAGTGCATATAATTCTATATACTATTCTATTTACTTCTTTCTAACAACAGAGTAAGCTCTTCTCAAGTAAAATATCTTTTAAAAAAAGTATTAGTGTCTTTTCTGATCAGGAGATCTTGCTATCATGGAAGATATTTAAATTCCTTACGTGTTTTAAATGACCATAGTATTCTTTGCATGGAATTGCCAATTGCAGGCATTGTATCAGGATGTTAAATGTACTCATCCCAAAAACTTCCATGCTGTCAAACCCTTCCAGGATACTAACTCTATAGTGCTGTAAATGAATCAATATGAAGAAAAAATTAAATATTAAAAATACATTTAGAAATAATCTGACTGGTATTATCCTGAAGGATAAACTCCCACTGAACTTGGTTCTGATATGACTGCATCACAAATATATGTTTTATATATATTTTTATATTGCACAGGCAAGTGCTTCCAACTATCGAAAATATTTTTACTTCATCAGAACAACCTTTCCGGCCAAATTCTTAGGAACTCAGTGCAACAGTAGGATTTCATTGGATTTATCTCTGTATTCAATAATACTCTAAGCACAGGATATCTGCAATCCTGGCATTCAAGCTCTAGACTTTGTTCGTGTTGTAAGCACCATCTTAGACAAAAAGATCATGAGTGGGATTCTGTTTGTCCAAAATCTGACAGTTGGAATAACATTTTGGTCATCCCAACACTAAGTTGTTACACAAAAAACATGGAAGAAAATTATTTTGTTTCACCCATCCCAAAAGTTTAAACAGTTTCATGTCAAAGAGAATCTACAAAGGTAAGAGGAAGTGCAGTACATTCTCAGATCACCTTTTCCTCAGTTACCCACTGAGGCATGCCTTTGAAGAGTTTGAAATAAGCCAAAATCCAGTCATGCTCAAGACCTGAATTTGACATTCCTTTTCTGTCATCTGCATCACCAAATTTACTACATAACCATTTAGGGTCCTGTAGTGAAATATTTAAACTGGTAGTGAAGAAGGGGGAGTTTTTCCAAGCACAGCAGCAGAAATTTTTCCTCTGTTGTTACAGCAGAAGACCGTGTGCTTCAAGACACCTGAACCTTTAGCAAGATCTTGCCTAATTCATCCACCTTTGGTACTTGACTATTTCAAAGGAACCAATACCACCAACTTGAAACTACAAATATCTTGAACAGCAGTTCCTTACATTCTTTCTCTGTACTTTAACAGCCACTGTCCAATATATTGCCTATGTTTTTTACTCATAAAAACCCAATTCCTAAGCTGTACTCTAGTTTGGCAGAAGATATTTTCAAATACTAAGTATTCAAATGGAGATAAAATTATATTAAACTAAAGCAGTTGAATTGTTACATATCATGATCATACATAACGCATGATTGTCAGTTCACATAAAACTGGTCTGGAATAGATAATGAAAAAGTAAAACTGTTATACATTAAAAAGATGCAATTTCCTTTGTCTTTTTGTATAACAAGAGAAAAATGCTTACTTTTAATTTTTTTCATATGATAACTATTCAAGTCTTCCAGGCATGTAAGCAACTAACAACATAGATCAGCTGTGGCAACAAATCAGCTATGATTATGCTAGTTAAAAGTATGGCTATATGAAGTGAATTTGAGTAGTGAAAATGATCAAGTTTTTCTCCAAAAGGAGTATATACTAGTGTATAAACTTCTCCTCATATCTGCAAAAGATTGTAAAATAAAGGTCTTGGTCTCTCATCTTTAAGTATACAGTTGTCTTTTCAAAAGATTACTGGTTTTGCCCTTCACTTTCTGGCCCACTTTAACTATGTTCTCTCTGACTAACTTTACCACCCCATTTAACAAAATGTAAACCTCACTCCATCTTCCAAAGGCAGGGACATGTTCTACTGCATCCCAGTGGATGAGGAGCATTGTGTTGATCTGGTCTCACTCAGAGCCTCTTCTGTCTCCTAAGGAAGAGTTCTGTGCATTATGGCAGCAAAAGAGGAATGCAGAAGTTCAGCAAGCAACTTCACCAATGCATATCAGAACTTTAAGTTCAGATAAAAGGAGGTGCAAAACTGATTTCCTTCGATGCCTCAGTGATGGAACCCCCAGCCAGGTTTACACAGCCTCACAGTACAAAGTTTTGCAGCCTTTGCTAGGTATTCCTTTCATTATATAAAGGACAACAGCAGAAAAGATCAATTTCAAAACTGCTGGGCCACCAGCAATACAGGCTTTCTGGGGTGATGTAAAGACAAATGTTTTCACATGTGCTGGCACATACAACACCACTTTTAAAGAATTATGTTGCTCACTGCAGATTAATTTCCAGTGGGCATTTCTAAAAAAAATACCTGACTTATGAGACTTAAAATGAGTTCCTATATATCATTAATAAGAATTCATCTGTTTCCTGACAGTTAAAGGCTGTAGAGGTTAATAAATCAATCTTTCTGATTTTAGAAAGAATCTTTTCCATCTCATCAAGTAATATTAAAGATAGTAATGATACTTGAATTGAAATGCAGGAATCTTTTTATCATGCAGTTTTTCAGACTTCTTTGCAATTCATGGGATCTCAAATAATGATAGTTCATAAAGTTAAAGAACACTTAAGTTCAAGAAAAAGCTCTAAGCACTGGGAAGTGTGGAAACATCACACAAGACATTTAGAACAAGACCAGTGAAACCTGTAAGCCATAGTTACAGATCTTTGAGGGACAATTTGAAATCACACATGGAAAACTGAAATAAGAAAATAATGGATAGAAGAAAGTTGGCCAGGTTATTTCAGTAACCTCTTGGTTTTTTTCAAACCATGAGATATTCCACATTTCTATGTTGGAAACAAGAAAATTCTTTCTTTATGAGTTGCAAAACATATAAGTCAAGTTTGATACAGTATGTATGAAATAAACTGAACATTCTTGCCATGGAGACTTGGAAAGTCTCCAACAAAACTTTCTTTTTTGCTTAGAATGAGAAGTAGAATAGCATATTAAATACAATTGTTCAGTATATGCCCTACAATCAGTTCCAAAAGCAAACCCCTGACCTCAACAAGAGTTTTCATAGGAACATTTCACTGTAACCCAATGCAACAATAATTTCATTTTGGTAACCAACATGCAGTCAGTGCTCAAATTCCTATCTCATGTGCTCATGAGTTCAAGCGTTTATTTTTAATTTAAGTAAGAATTCTGCAGAAATGGTACCATGAACACAATTTTTCCTTGCTTTGTGCACTGAAAAGCTCCCTTTTTACATTATAAAAATTTCTTAGCAAACAAGCAGTTCTACTTGCAAGCACTGACAAAACATCTTCTCAGTATTTCCTGTTTAAAACCTCTCTTTTCTATTGCTTATGGCTTCAACCACCCAGGATAAAGTCCCCCTCTATCTTCCTCAACATGAGTGTTTTCCAGAAGCTTTGGACCAGATGTAAAATCTCTTGGAGGAAGATAGCAGTATTTTTCATGCAAAAAAAAAAAAAACTACCAAAACAAAACATCAAACAAACAAACAAAAAACACCAAAAAAGCCCCAAACCTTTTCCATTTTTTTGAAGCTCAGAGTGAGTCAGATCTCAATAAGAAGCTTGTTAATATTAGAAAAGACTGTCCATGGTGAAAAGTAATATAATTTAATCCCCTTATTACCTGTATCCATTAATATAAGCAATCATTTAGGTGGTTCTTACTTCCTTCAGTTAGCTAGAATGATCCCTAAACCTGACATCGTCTTCATGATGAAGAAAATCTTAAGTGCCTTGCTCCCCTTCCAGCATATTTCAGAAATGCCTGTGAGAGCTCTGGAAAAACCAGAATATTAAGTCTCTGTAAAGTAGATAACTTTTCAGAAGACAGAATTTGCAAGTTCTTACAGACAGAAGAGACATTCCAATCTTGGCTGCAATTTTATTCTTTTGGAACACTGAAAATATTTCATTTAACTTAATTTGACCCTCACAGGCTGACCAAAGTCACAACACAGTAAGTCAACCTAAATCAGCAAGGAAAATGTAGGTTAGGAGCTAAGTTCTTCCTTTACTCTTGTGCTTTAGGACTTCTCCATGAGAAGCCAGGAAAATTCAGCATTGAATGTATGCTCACAACTTTGTTATTGATAGTAAAATTTTTGCATATTAGAACAATATCTTTTATCCTGAAATATTTTGATTACTACAGAAAACCCAGATGAAAGTGTGAAACAAGAGGTACTCACATTTTCAGGGGCACCAGTGACCTGGGCTGCATGAGTTAGGAGATCTCTGCCACCAAACTGCAAGCATTTCTTTCAAGGCTACATCAATAAGGGGCAGGTTTGAGGATGTCTTCCCTGCTAAGCAGAAACCTGAAAGGGAGTTGGAAATACACAACCCCGCATTATCACCAGATTGTCATGGCTAGCTTTATCTTTGATTAAAAAAAAGTTACTACGGTACACTATTGAAGCAGCAAAGTCAGATATTCAAAACTCAAGGAAATGCCAAAACTGAAGTTTGCCTTTAAAATGAGGGTTATAGTACCTCAGTATGTCTCAAGGTGGCTATAAGAATAATGTTTGTGAAACCCACAGATAAAAGAGTGACAAATGCTGTCGGAAAGGTCAGAGGAAATCATTACTTCTTTCTTCCCAGCTGGGTTTGAACAGGATGTTACCCACAATGGCAGTAAAGATCCATGCTGCATACTGAACACTGAGGCAGTAAAACAACATTGAGCAGCTGCCCATTAAAGGCAGGATATATCCCACCTAAATTTAGCAGTACAAAAGTCCACTCTAATGTAGTCAGGTAGACTATGCTCTTGCTGAAGAGATGCAGACATATCCAGCAGCAACTCACATCATCCCAAGATAGTCTTCTGAGATGAGCAGGAAGAATAACCATCCAGAGCTCCTATTTCCCCTTTCACTCAAGACAACAGTTAGACATCAGGTTTAAGCTAATTGGTAAGCAGCTAAACCAAGATGAAATTAATCTGTCCTAAAAAAGCATCATATAGCTTTAAAGGATTAAAATTACAAAATGAACTAACTCAGTATATAACCATATAATTGCAGCTTTTTATGTTGTGTGTGCAAAGGGCACTTCTAATGCATAGTTTAATTCTGAAAATATTTCCATTTTTAGAGACCAATTTTGCAGACCCTAGAGTGAGTCTTTCTATACAGAGAGCAAGTACATTTACATAATAATTAATTTGAAATACAAAAAGTAAATGAAACAACTCTTTCATACTGTTGGTGTGCTTCACCAGTTCTGATTTCCTTGTGTTCAGTACAACAGAAGAGCATCTCACTACATGCATATTTAATTTTCTTTCCACCATCTTCCATGCTACACTAAAAGGTTTTCATATTCTAGTCACCAAATTCCATCATGCTAAGAATTGCATGAAGAAAACCCAGTACCTGATAGTTCCTCACCATAGGCTCTTCTACATGGAAGTGGTAGTTATTCCTGCTTTTGCTCCAAGAATGTTCATTTGATTATTCCAAACTTGAACAGATCCCATAAAATGGGATTATTTCCTCATAGTAAAGACCCAAGTTCATTAAAGTCTCTGCTCTAAGAAAAGCAGAATTACTCTTTAACTTTCCAAATGTCCACATTTTCCTTAAAAAGGAGATGTTAATTTCCTACAATAAAACATGCTTTTCAGGCAAATAAGATGACTCATCCACCCTCAGATCTTTCAGTTTGCCAAGGAAAACTTTAAAAAAGTCATTCCATATTGTAACTAAATCAAAGTAGATTTTCAGTCAGCACTTTGGCCAGGAAAAATGGTATGCCAGGTAGGGTTATACTATACAATGTCTGCTCCTAACTACAAAGAAATAATTGAGGCAAACCTCTGGAACAAAGTAGACATCTCTACCACCCTTCTGAGGAAGTATGATTGCTTTGTAATACAGAGAAATCAATCATTTTCAGGAGCATCTGAATCACCCTGACGTGGCACAAGTGGTGCTGCTCCAGGGAGCAGACTCATACACAGCTGCTGGCATTTCACACTCCACCACTGCTTTATGTGCCTGCCTGCCCACTCAGAGGCAAACGGGGATACTCAGGAGAAAATGAACTTGTCTGAAGCACCAATCTGATCTGTTGCTCAGGAAAGGAGAGAGTGCTTAAAGCCCTGCAATCCCCCTTCCCCTGGAGCTTGGAATGTGACTGCAAAGCTAGTCACCAGCTATCCAAAGAACAAGTAGATGCTTAAAAGGCTGAGATTATGGCACGGAGATGCTTCAGTTCCTACATAATCAATTTTTTTTGTTTGGAGCTCCTCTAACTGGAAACTGCCACACTTGTGAAAACAGCATCTATCTCAAGTGAAATGAGCATTAAAATGCAGTCAGACTCCCACTGTCTGAAAACCAGATTCTTAATCTCTAACTCCAGTGATTCACAAGACTTTCCAATTCCTATTAGAAATAAAACCAAATAGCACAGCATGAAGTTGATAAAGCTGATGGGATCTACAAGTCTGATATTTGACAGCTTTCTGAAAATAGAAACAAATTGACAGAGACAGTACATTTTCCAATCACTGCTCACAAACCAAAAATTTTCAATCATTGGTTATTTAAGTTTCACACAGGCATGCACTGTATTTCTAGGATATACTCTAGAGATTAACTAACCTTTCCCTGAAAACAAAACTAATGCACACGCACAGCAAACTTTACCTATCAGATAACAACCAATGGATTTAATTCTGTTAATGAGATCACTGTCAAATATACTTCACACCTGTCCACTGAACTTTCTGATGTGTGCAACAGTGCTGTTCAAGGATAATAGCTCATCTTTACATCCTGCATGAAAGTAGGAACATGAGGAAAAGACAGCTCCTCGTGCAACACCTTTCAAAATTTAGAGACTTATTTCTGTTTTATTCAAGTCAAAACCAAAACTCTGAAAGAATTTTTTAAAGGACAAGCATAAGTCTGCTTTCAGATTAAACCTCAAAATGCATAGCAGGCTTGTCTAGATTAGAATGAGGAGCTTTTGTAAGCACACTGAAGGTGAGGGCCATAGTCTGATCCAGTCTAGTTTTGGCACTGTCTGATTCAAAGCAGACTTTTGGAGAAGCAAAAGATTAATTCCAGTTGAGAGCTGGGAGATAAACTGCATCTCCAAATCTTAGTGCAGTGTGACAAGCACCACATCTTCCAGAAAAATTAAAAATAAATAACATTTTTCCCTCCACCAATCACCTGCACCCAAAAAAATATAGCCAAAGTTATTAGAAATGCTTGGAAGTATCCAGGTTCTTTTAAAAAGCATGTTCTTCTCCCAGATTCTTAAAAATCTCCACCTAGCTCTTTAAAAGCCTATAAAATATCAGCACAAAACCAAGTGAGTTAATCAAGATGATAAAGAAAAGTAAGAGTGGGCCAGTGAAGAAGCTGAACTGAAATTTACATTTTCTTTAGAATTATGCAGGAAATCTGCTCATTTCAATTTAGCAGAAGCCAGAAGAATAAGAAAAAACAACCAGCAAAATGACCATATAAGACTCACAACTCAAAATTTTGAAAATTCCAGCAAGGCTGGACACATAACAGGATCCACAAGCATCCAATCATCTTGGGATCATGTGGAATGTTTCATCAAATATATTTTTTCCATGCTTACTTGTGAACCAGAAGGAATATCTCAAAGGCACAGAGAGCTGGCTAGTAAATTTGGAGCAAAGTGTGGTACGGCATTGCCAGGCAAGACAAGACAAAACAGGATGGAACTCATGCAACAAGGTCAAAGCAGCATCTGTTGAGCCAGAGTACCTAAAGCCCATTGCAGATGTGATCTGTTTATAAGGAATCAGAAAGGACAAGCAGACAGACTTTCTGTAGCTCTTTCACCAATGATTAGCCCCAAAAGATACCAAAGGAGTAATCCAACATTACATTTGCTCGGCTTACACAAAACCTAACCAGAAATATTGTTTCATTCACATGGGATATGCTCGAAGGTAGACACTGTTTTAGTTTTAATCCAAAGAAAAATTATTTTTCTTGAAAATATGATAAAATACTGATGTGATCAGAAATTGGAATACCTCTTCAATTAGGAAACTCTTACCCATGAACAGCATTTCCATCTCAGGACAGATGCTGCAGTACCTGCAACTTTTACTGAATGCGAAATTTTCCCCTCCCTCCCTTCAAACCTCAGGGTGTCAAAACATGCTGGAGCTCAAGCCTGAAATGCTTCCATTTTATGTGAAGCCTCCAGGGGTATGGGGCTAATTATGGATCCTTCACAGCCTGGACCTCTCCACCAGACTGCTTCAGTCACAATACTTCTGTGATACACAGAACACCTAAACACAGGACAAAGCACAACCTTATTTTGCACAGGGAGGCCAGAACACCCCGAAGAGGATGGATGTGCCTTTTCACAGTGCACCACAGCATTTCAGGCAGACAGACTTGCAAATGGGTTCAACATATTTTCTCAGAAAAAAATCAACAATTCAGCCTCCCAACATTTTTGTATTGATTATTTCAGTTTTGTAGAAACCAAATGCCAGGCACTCAGATTTACAATCTTTCCCCAGTATTAGTGTACATTTGCTGCTTTTAATTAATCCAGTGTATTCAGTTACGGCATAACACACCAAGTGCAATATCACAAATCACAGTATGGAAATGCTGACACATTTGAATGCAGTGAGAACTTTACCAGGATTTTATGCACAGTTTGAAAAATCAAATAAAACCCATTTAAAAAGTAAGAAGGGACTAGGCACTATTGGAGACAGGGGTAACGATTCATCTGATTCTGTGTCATTTTTATAATCCTAGCTTTTGAGCTTCTGTGGCCTTATATTGATTTTCTCTGTTCTTTCTCTCCTTTTTTCTTTTTAAATTATGGAAAGTGAACACATTTAATATAAAACAGATTTTGCTTTATTTTTTCAGGTAAGCCTGTTAAAGGCAGAAAATACTTCATCTACTGCACACAGAAAAAGCGTAACATTAAGCATTTGGCATTATATCTTGGTAGATAAATATTGTCTCTATTTAATTGTCTGTTAAAAATTGATAGAAGAGTAGCATCAGCTTTTAAAATCCCCAGCAGCAAAACTCCCACTGATATCAGTGGGTCTAGGATCTTACTCCAAATTTTGCCCTTTTTTTTTCCTTTTTGAACAGGCAGCATCTCTTTGTGCAATAATTGGCAACTATTAATGTCAATTGGCAGATCCAGAGCTGCATGGGTCTGTGGGAAATTTATGCCTCCTAACATGCCTTGCTAAATTTAAACCTGTTGCATAATATGCAGATTCATTCTCATGCATGTAATGCAGCTAAGAATATCTGAAGTTCAAAGGAAGCTAATACACATGCAGACTAAAAAGGAGGGTTAAATGTATTTTGGGCTTTACCACATGGAATAAAAAGCACTGATCACTCCCTTTAGTAAAGCTATGCCTTCTTGTAGTCATTTCAGTGAACATACATTTCATTCACATGCATGGTGCATGGCCCAAAGCACCACTGACATTAAAAATAGGAAAACAAGAAAAGATAGACTTGTTTTTTGATTCCATTAAGCCATCACTTCAGTCCTAGCTCTGGGAGCACCCTGCTCTAAAACACTTCTGAGCGACTCTGAAGCCTGCTTTTCACAGCTTTATTATCCAATTACAAACTGGACGGCTCATTTCTACAATGCCTTTCTGTATTCCATCTCTTTTTCGCCACCCAGACTGCACATAAGCAGACCTCTTTTTCTGTTTGATCTTGAACACGGAAAAACCTTTCTGGTAATTCACATTTTGACTTGTGGTCTGAGCCTGAGAACAAGAAAATGCAGCACTGGTAGAGATATCAATGTCTTTTCAGAAAGTCAGCAGCTTGATCCTATATGAATATTTTTTAAAAATGTTATTATCAATCATTACAAAGAACACAGATAAAATAAGGTTGGATGAAGTTCCATCTCTTTGGGCTTCATTTCTAATGCATGTTCCAAAGTGAAAACTTCTAGAAACCTTGACAGATTAGAAAGGAGAATGGCTAAAGAACCATTGCCAGTATTTCAGTTTTTTGTTGGTTTGAGGGTTGGGTTTTTTATCACCTAACTGTTATCACCAAACCTTTTCTGGAGCAATTCCCTGAGGATGAGATAATTCCTAACCTATAGCCCAATTCTCAAGTCATTGCTCATGTTCCTATTTCATCTTGAACTTGAGCCATCAAAATGCCTTTAATATTAGCAGCTCAGACATGTTCTTAATTCACACAGAAATATTCCAGAGCTCCCATCCAAATATTATGCTTCACACAAACACCTTCCCACAGAACATGTACTTAAAAATTTAGCCTCCTGATTTTCAGCTTCAGACAAATACACATTTCCTTTTGCTCTCTCAGACCAGCATATCCAAAGCCTCCTGTACACGACATTTACTCTCTCTCTGTACATGACATTACTTACCTTTTTATCAGGTATCCCAACCTTAATGGAAACAGCACACTGGAAGATAGCTCTAGTCTGCATTAATACAAAAAAGCCCCCAGTGACAATGTCAATTTATTGGTATCAAAAAGCATTACATGGCTGGGAAAGGTAGGAGAAATGATAAAATTCCTTGTGTTCTGAACCATTCCCCATGTTTCAGTGCAGTGTGATACTGATGCAAGGCTATTAGGCCCTCTGATACCAGTTTGAGATTAGTACTCAAGTACTTGACTTTTTGGCACAGCCTGAGTCTGCTTGGAATAAACATAACACAACCACCAAATAAAATGCTCAAGATTACCTTTTTTAAAGAAAAACCAGAATATGAAAACTTTGAAGCAAAAGTTCAGGATTCTTATAGCAGAAAACTCCTCTAGAGATTAAATATAAGTATTTTGAAAAGCACGAAAAAGCACATGGAAAAAAGTGTGGTGATTGTTATTTGTTGTTGCTATTGTTAATTACTCCAAAACAGAGATGAGGCTGAAAGGAAAATCTGAAAGAACTAAGTTCATGGCAACATGCCTGGTGATTAGATCAAGATAAAAAATAACCAGAGAAGTGGAAGAACAAGAGACAATTTGAAATATTGTAAATAGTGCCAAGGAACAACTAAGCACTGAGGGAGAATTCACTTGTAATTATGGTGTTAAGAATTTTATGAAGGTTTCTAGGTCCTTCAAATCCTCCATATATCCTTGCTATGAGTAGTGTATATTACTGAACAAGAAGTTGTGAGCAAGAGCAAATTCTGCAAGAACACACCAACATTGTCTAGCCACGGGCAGAGCTGGATCCCAAGCAATGAACAGCTCTCACCTGTTTGGGACACAGCTTTGCAGGGGAAGGAGACAAACCAAGGTGTATCAGCCTCTTGCTTAACTAAGCAGCTGCTAAATGCAACTACAACCAAGCTCAAAAATAGCTGGTGAAATGGTGACTTTGTCTCATAAATAACAGGGCAGTAGATAAGCCCAGAAAGAGACCATAGAGCTGAAGTTCAGGTGTAGGATATGCACTAAGGCACTGACAGGGACTGGCTTAAGCTTAACACACCATCTCCAGGAAGGCTGTAGAGGTAATTAATATACTGCCAGCTTTTCATAAGAATAAGGATGGCAGAAGCCTCCTGAACAGATAATCCACTCAGTCATTTGAAATGTATTCCAGTTCTAGTTTTCAAGACCTGGAACAATTCTGCCTTCCACTTATTCTCTGCTCATATTGTGCTTCACTAACTCCCTTTGCTTTGCCCAAGATATTTGACTTCTGGAGCTCTTCTGTGGATCTGACTCCCCTTTTAAAAGGGTCCGTCAGTAAAACTTCCCTTTCAACACGTTCCTTGTTAAAACACACCTTCCAAAAGGCAATGGAAACTCTTCTGAATCTCATGAAACAAGAGTTTACAAAAACAACAGATATACAGCATAATAGTGGAAATGTGACAAACACAAGTTTTCCTTCAGTACTTGCTGGTATGTTTTCTCTCAGTAACAGCCCAGCTATCACAAGGCACAGAGGCATTTTAAGAGAAAAATATATCAAAGACACCAATAGATCATAAACAAAAAGCAGTTCAAAGGAATTTAATTGCTTTTCATATTAGGATGCCTATTTAATCATTACTTCATTCAGTTCTCCACACCTTGGTCTAAATCTCCTTCACTTTCTTTATTTCCCTGGCCCCTTGCATCAGAACAGACAAGTTAATGCTGTTTACTTCATCAAGTAAGTATTCCTGACTTGTATAGCTGGCAAATAATTTATTTAACTACTTACTAATAAGCAAAGAGAAGAGAATCTATCACTAGAATAATCTTGGAACCCTCCATCTGTTATAGATAGCGTGTTTCTGTTCAAACAAATGCTGGGAATGAACAATTTATTTCTCTGTTTACTTCCTAACCCATACCCTGCATATTTCAAAATGATGGAAAAGCCTACAGATGAGTAACTAACCCCAGAGACTCAGCAGAACATATATTTCCAAGCTGTCTATAACTTTAGAGCCAAAGCACCAGCAAAAAAACAAAGGATCAAATATCCTAAGGTGCTCTTGGTGAGGAGCAGCCTGTAGCCTAAATTTCATTCTTACCTGTCTGGGCAGAACACAGAAAATATGAGGATCCTGCTGACATTTTGTTTGAGTTGGAGAATCAATGACTTTGAAAAGACTCAATAGCACAGTTAGGGCCAACACTACCTCATCTTCTGAATGGCTCCATTTTCAGTCCATTTGTTTAGATTTTGGGAAAAGGAATACATGTTCAGCACCTAGCACAGTGGTCCTGACCTTCTGGGTCCTTTGGCACTAACCTAAATTAAGTTACACTTTTAATAAAATGCAGAAACTGACACAAGTACTAATACTTTCCTTAGATGTGGCTTACCTAAAGAGACTAACACATAATGCTAAGACCAGCTCTTCTCATATTTTATCAGGATATTTTAAAATTGCAAACAACATAAAACTATCATATTATTTTAATTGATTTCATTTACCTGTACATTGAAGTCAGCCCCCTCTTGGCAAGAGTTTGATAATCTCCATTATTAGATCTGCCACCTTTTATAAACAGCAACAGAACACATCAACCATCTGGTGATCCTCAGCCAAAGGTTAGGAAATTAACTGGGAATTGCCACCAATGCAGGAGGTACATACAGCATATCAGGGAGAGCAGGGGGCTGCAATTGAGGCACACAGATAACTCATAGAATGCAGAGTGAGCCCAGATGCTGGATCTGAGCTTAAATAGGCTCCTGTGCAGTGGACAGAGTGTGTGAGAGTCACAGCTGAGGGCCCTCAGGGCAATTACAGCCTACAGGTGCCCACAGGGTCCTGGCACACACATAAGCATATGCATGGATGTGCAAAGGGTTGGTTAGTGTTTAGAGTCAATAAAAAGACATCATTGTGTCTGAGATGTATGGCCTCTTGCATTGGCTAAGAGGAGATTGGTTTGGGTTATATGCTCCATAAATCAAAGAGAAAAACCCCACTTTGCTCTCTCAACAGATTGATTTTTGTTTTTATCTGACATATGCAAGTCACTGTGCAAGCACACCTACAGCAACAGGCAGGTTTCTTAGATCACTGCAGCTCTTGAGCAGAGTGACAGCCTTATTCCTGCTGAAGGCAGGAGCAGTTTAGCAATTTAGGGTAGGCAGATTTTGAGCAACAAAGTCAGGAAAGGATCTGAAAGCCTTGTGAAGCTGACCTCCCTATCATTCCTAGAGTTCATCGGTTGTTCAAAAAGCACCATCTTAGATAACTGTGAGTCAGCCTGGGGATATTCATAGAAACATGGAATAGTTTATGTTGGAAAAGATCTCTAAGATCATCCAGTCCAACTGCTAATCCAGCACTGCCAAATCCACAACTAAACTGTGTCCTCAAGTGCCACATCCATATATATTTTAAATACCTCTAGGAATGGTGGTTCTAACTGCTCCCCTGGGCAGCCTATTCCAATGCTTGACAACCCTTTCCATGAAAAAAATATTCCTATCCAATCTAAATCTCCCCTGGGGTAACTCAAGGGCATTTCTCACTTGTTACCTGGGAGAAGAGGCTCCACTTTGCTACAATTCCTGTCACGCAGTCATGGAGTGTGGTAAAGTCTTCCCTGAGCCTCCTTTTCTGCAGTTCCCTCAGACACTCCTCACAGGACTTGTGCTCCAGACCCTTCATCAGCTTATTGCCCTTCTATGGACCCACTCCAGCCCCTCAGTGTTTCTTGTAGTGAGGGCCCCAAAACTGAACACAGGATTTGAGGAGTGGCCTCACCAGTGCTGAGCACAGGGGGACAATCACTGCCCTGGCCCTGCTGGCCACACTATTTCTTTTACAGGCCAGGATGCCTTGGGCCTGCTTGGCCCCCTGGGCACATGCTGGCTCATGTTCAGCTGCTGTCATCAGCACCCCCAGGTCCTTTTCCATCAGGCAGTTTTCCAGCCGCTCTTCCCCAAGCCTGTAGCACTGCCTGGGGTTGCTGTGACTCAAGTGCATTTGGGATTTGGCCTTGTACTGCAGCCTCAGGCAAAAGCAGCTCCTACAGGGAGTCAGGGGTCAGTCATCCCAGAGCCTCCCCCCTCAGCAGGAGCGGGCAGCGCCCACTGCACCAGCCCTGAGGCCCTCAGCCCTGGGGCCTGGCACTTGCGCTAAAGAAACCATGGAAGTAAGGACCTCCCTCTGCCAGACCAGTTCTGGAATTCAACAGCAAACACCTAAAGTATCTTTGGAACCAAATCCCTGAAACTTTTTTGGTGTATTTTCCCTGGTCCATTACAGAGAAGCATGAGGAAGAAGCAGTGTCCATATGTTCTTTTTAAAAAAATCTTCCCTTTCCTATTTCCTCTAAACAAGAACTACACAATAAACATTATCACTTGCTTATGAATGCAATTTAGGAATTTTGAAATAGTTCCCAGGAGAATCTGCCTTTCTTTCAGTCTTGTAGGCCATGCCACACAGAATGGAGGTGTCAATAGATGAAGCCAGAGGAGAAAAGGAACAAGAGCAGGGACAATGTCTGAATCACATTCAATTTCCAGTGAAGTAAAGGGATTCTTAGGTTGTCTCAATTAATTTGCAATTTATAATGGGAAATAAGTAGTCCTAAAACACTCATGAAGAAGCTCCAAAACAAGAAGAGTGAATCATAGCAATTATTGAATTATACTCAACATACTTTTATTTTGACACTTTATGGTTCCTTCAGGGCTAGAGCCAACAGCAACAGGGACCTCTCTTGCCCTCTCTGCATCAGCAGAGAGCACTACAGCATGTTTAAACCATTTCTTTTTCTTTAGTCTCATATTTCCTTCCTTTCAGCAAGTGCACAGTATGCTGCTCAGGAAACATGGAATCATTTCCCCTCTTCACTGCTCTGCCTGTGCTTCTAGTGCCTACTGGTGTAACAAACACCAAGGCTTTAGAGAGCTGCTGACCCCTTCAAAGTCTGTGCCCTTCAGTAAGTCAGTGCAAACTCGAATTTAATTCACATAGAGGAACTCAGATTAACTTTATGAAGGAAAAACAAAGGCCGGATGAGATGTGTTTAGTCTTTCTCCTCTTTTCCTTTGCGAGCAGCGGCGGTTTGAGAAGGAAAGCAGCGACTGAGCAATCTGGCCTGGTGGGCGGTGTCCCTGCTCTCCGCAGGGCACCGGGCTAGGTGGCCTTTAGCAGTCCCTGCCATCCCAGGCATTCCGTGCCTCCAGGGGAGCCGGGCGCTGACGCGGCAGCCCGAGCTCCGGGAAAACTGGGATTTTGCTGCCACCGTGTGCTCACCCCGCTCCGCCCGCCAGCCTCCCTGCTTGGCCGGCCCCAGCGCGGGATGGTGCCGCGGAAAAGGGTCCCGCTGCCGAGGCGGAGGAAAGAGGTCTTGCTGCAAAACGACTCCTCGCATGGACATGCCCTCGGCCAAACCCTAAGCTTCATCTTGAGGCTAACCAGCCAAGCCTAAGTGAGTTTAATGCAGGTTTGGAGAGCAGGGATGGCTGCTCTCGGTAGATAGACGCTCACCAGTTTCAGAAGATGCTCTTCCGTGGTTTCTGATGGCTCTGCACTGGTCCCCCAGCATCACTCATTACAGATGGACAAACAGTAGTGCTCAGAGCAGTAGCTGCTTTTCAAAGCAGCAAAGGTCTATTCACTTTCTTCCCATAAGATTGACAGTTGATGATTGTTTAAAATGTTTAATACTCAGACTGTTCTGACATAATATTTTGGCCTTTAAGTGTCACAGACATAAACAGCCTGCTGAGTCCATTTCCATCAGTTTTTACTAATGGTGGAAATGCCTCTGGAACTTGTTAACACTGAGTATGGCCAAAGGATCGAGCTCACACTCTTTAACCAGGGCACTTTTAAGGTTTCCTCTGGAGACCTACTGGAGCTGAGTGGAAGAGGTATTAAAATTCTTCCCAGAAATCCAACAGCACACCTCTTCCTAAAGTGATCCTATAGTGATCCATCATGAGGTAAAGACCAATTTGGCCCAGTGCAGGAATCTGTAACCTTCCAGAACAGACCAATGTGCTGGCAAATGAACCTGGCTATCAGCCAGCAAACCCTGGCTCACAGTGTGTAAACTACAATGCTACTTTTTTAATCTGTTTCTAAGGAGGACAGTGTTGTTCCAGACCAGGAACAAATCATTCAGTACAGAAATGAGGATGTCCCAGTGACCTGGTGACCAGGTACAAGTTCCTTCTAGAAGCCTTGTAAAATTTGTGGCTCTAAATAGTAAATACAGCTAAGGTTTTAAGTAAGCATGACTATTTCAGGCAAGGTGACCCTTGGGAGTGAAATCTTTTGTGTCAGTCCATTTCCCAGCAGAAAGCCACTCACATTCAAAACACAACCCTCACAACCAATCATTGACAGTCAGAAGAGAAGCAAAGACTAATTAATTGAATAAAGGCCAAATTATTCACTCCTATTATAAGCATGACATTGGCAAGAATCCCAAATGCATCCAGTGCTAACTTCACCTAGTTTGTTGGATATTGCTGTTGCCTCTAGGGGAGCATGTTCCATTATTTTCAAGAGCTTCACCAATTGTTATTCTGAACACTCTTCCACACACATTTCAGCTACCTAAAACAGAACAAAGGTGTCCTCTACTCTCTTTCCACCTTATATTGCTGAATTACAAAGACAATGTCTCTGACACAGCTTTGAATAGAAAAATTACTACTCCTTGTCTTCATTGCTCTGACTCCCTATACAATTTATTAGCAGTATCAGTAATCTGCTTTTCTTAGAACTTCTGGCTATCTTTTTTTTAATTTTAATTCTAAATTCATCTGAATCCTTCTCTCTGTATTATTGAAGAAATTCAGTGAGAGCTATTTCTATAAATTCCACACCCACACAGTCTGCTAAGAAGGGCTTATGCAATGAGTAATTTGCCTACATTAATGTGAAAAAATGCACTGACAAAAACTGACTTGCATCCATGACAAAGGTTGTTATTCTCTTTCTTTCCCAAAAAGGGAAAGAGAGGCAACTCCCTTATGTTCTGATACAAAGAGTGAAAATCAGAAACATCCCTCATCTAGCACTTAGATTAAAGGTATGCTTAAGATCAAAGGATGACTTGTGTGACAGTATGTAGATCAGACTCAGTTTTACCCACCTATGCACAGCTCTGGCCTTTACTTTCTATCCTAAAGAGGAGTAATTCTGTCCATTGATGTTCCAATAGACAAAGCTAGGGCAAACCTATCATTGGGGTGAGTTAATTGATGTAAGTATTAAGTAATTTCTAATGTCAAAGGAACAGATGGCTAAAGGGCAGTGTTGGGACAAGCCTGGCTCCAGAGACTCTTTTTGGTGTGTTGCTCTTTATCTCTTTACCCTATTTATGCTCTATATCTCTCAATTTCTCTTCATTCACTCTGGGCTTGTTGCAGATTGGCTTTTGTTAGATCAGGACCAGAAAAGTGCAACCTCAGTTTTACTGCCCTGGCCCCCTGCACACATCCAAGGGCTTTAGGATGTTCACCAAGTGTGGAGAATTTGTCTGGTCCCAACAGAAACAATTATGGAAGTGGCTGAACCTGGTAGTTCTCCTATTCAAATTATATCCAACTTTCTCAAGAGCCAAGAGTATTGCCACCACTGTCTAAGAAATTCCCTGAGCATTCCTAGGTGATTCC